ATCTATCTATCTATCTATCTATCTATCTATCTATCTATCTATCTATCATGTCTCTGTCTGTCCATCCATCCATCCCTCTCTTTCCCTGTCTCTATCAATCATCTATTTGTCTATCATTACATATCATCTGTCTGTCTTCCATCTCCCACCCTCCCTCCCCGCTCTCTAAACCATCTATCTGTCTATCATTATGTATCATTGCGTAACATCTATCTGTCCTACCTACCTACCTACCTGTCCTATCTCGATCAACCAGCTTTCTTTACAACCCTTTAATATTCAGCTCCTAATTATTTCTCCTACAGTCTTCAATTAATTTCTCACACCTCAGTCGTCATTCCTCATAGTACATAAAGAGCAAAACTTAAAACAATCACCAGTTAATTCTTCCAAAATCAAATGTGATGGATTATTTTAAAATAGGAAGTAAGAAGACTGGGGATATTATTATTTCTGGAAATACATGGGGGGTTGTATTGTAAATTAACTTTCCAAATACTCTTGAGAGCTTTATTTTACTGAGAGATACACACTAGATACAAAGTGTATAGACTTTAGGAAGGATTTCATATGGGAGAAATCAAATCTATTAGCTTCTTCTATCTCGTCTATAGTTTGCAAAATTTTGTAACCCTTCGGCTGAGAGAGAAAACAGTTTTTCATCTTATTTTATGATCCACAGGACATATGCTTCAACATCACTCTAAGGGAACTTTTTAAACATCCACCTATTCAAAATGTTTAATTCCTTTCCTTGACCTGTTCTCATTACAAAGATCAGACCTGTGAAGATTTATTTATGAGTTCTTACTCTGAAAGTGAAGTAAATTTATTGGGACCTCCATAAATAATTTGATGTGAACTTTGAGAAAAAAAAATACTGCAATTCTGCATCCTTGTAGGTAATACAAGCCATTTCTCCCAAGGCTCCCATTTTGTTTCTATAAACCAGGAAAGCCGGCAAAAGTAGAAGCCTTACCACAACAACACCAATTCAAAGTACTGACATTTCTATATCTACGATTAATTAAAAAATAGGGTCTGAGAAGCGGCTCAGAAGTTCTTGTCCCAAGCCCTGAGTGATCTCTCAATATTAGGCTACATCATTCAGCTGGAGTGCTGACGATCAGAACTGGCAATACACAGCAAGTAAAGACAAATTGTATGGCAACAAGAGTGTTTTGACCTAGGCCTCACAAAATCACGGAACAAACTCCTTGTCCTGACAAAACTCCTTTTTATTAGGCTAAAGTGAATTCCTCTCATTTGCATCCAGCAAAGTCCCGGCAAACAGTCTTTCAAGGGTGAATTTCAACCACAGACCTTATCAGGCTTGGAGAGTTGCCAGGCCGATAGCTTCCAAGCACAAATACTTGGCACGGAGTCTCTGAGAGTCATGAACACAGATAAACAAATCTTCACACTAATTAAATGAACTAAATTGTCTCCTGCAAACACCACTCCCCTTTTGCTCCTCTTTATTCCCTATGGGAATAATTTTTTTTTTAACTACCAGTTCTGTGGGTATGTCTTGGTGGGCATGGCAGGGGAAGGATACTGTAAAATCTCCAGTCAGAGGTGGTATTTGCTTGTTCTCCGAACTACTCAAAATTTCTACTACCAGTTCTCCAGAACTGGGCAGAACCTGCTGAATATCACCTCTGGGCGATTCACTGTTCACTTGTGCCTTTACTCTTGAGTCAATCCTTGTTCCTTAACTGTTCTCTTCTCCTGACAACTCTGTGCATGTGCACATCAGGAACAGGCTCCAGCTATTCTTCTGCCCCACTGATCTCCAACTCCGAAGGCAGCTGATAAGTGTCGGACAGCCCTGGCCCATCTCTGCCTCCTACGCAGAGCACTCATCAGAGCCTTC